GGAGATTCTAAAGAAAAGTTACAAAGGTTAGTGGACAAGTTTGGGAGAGTGTGTAAAGGTAGAAAGATGAAAGTGAACATACATAAGAGTAAGGTGATGAGGGTATCAAATGATTTAGATAAAGAAAAATTGGATATCACATTGGAGAGAGGGAGTATGGAAGAAGTGAATGTTTTCAGATATTTGGAAGTTGATGTGTAAGCGGATGGGTTTATGAAGGATGAGGTTAACCATAGAATTGATGAAGGAAAAAAGGCGAGTGGTGAGTCGAGGTATACGTGGAGACAATAAAAACGTTATCTATGGAGGCAAAGAAGGGAATGTATGATAGTGGTACCAACTCTCTTATATGGATGTGAAGCTTGGGTTGTAAGTGCTGCAGCGAGAATGTGGTTGGAGGCAGTGATGTCCTGTCTAAGGGCAATGTGTGGTGTAAATATTATGCAGAATATTTGGAGTGTGGAAATTAGGAGGTGTGGAGTTAATAAAAGTATTAGTCAGTGGGCTGAAGAGGGGTTGTTGAGATGGTTTGGTCATTTAGAGAGAATGGATCAAAGTAGAATGACATGAAGAGCATATAAATCTGTAGAAGAAGAAAGGCGGGGTAGGGGTTGTCCTCGAAAAGGTTGGAGGGAGGGGGTGAAGGAGGTTTTGTGGGCGAGGGGCTTGGACTTCCAGCAAGTGTGCATGAGCGTGTTAGATAGGAATGAATGGAGACGAATGGCTTTTGGGACCTGACGAGCTGTTGGAGTGTGAACAGGGTAATATTTAGTGAAGGGATTCAGGGAAACCAGTTATTTTTATATAGCTGGACTTGAGTACTGGAAATGGGAAGTACAATGCCTGCACCTTACAGGAGGGGTTTAGGATATTGGCAGTTTGGAGGGATATGTTATATATCTTTATATATGTTTACAGTGAAACATATAAGTGAACAGTATTTAGATAAGGCTAAAGAGGTCTTTGTGGCATTTATGGATTTGGAAAAGGCGTATGACAGGGTGGATAGGGGGGCAATGTGGCAGATGTTGCAAGTGTATGGTGTAGGAGGTAGGTTACTGAAAGCAGTGAAGAGTTTTTATGAGGATAGTGAGGCTCAAGTTAGAGTATGTAGGAAAGAGGGAAATTATTTCCCAGTAAAAGTAGGCCTTAGACAAGGATGTGTGATGTCACCGTGGTTGTTTAATATATTTATAGATGGGGTTGTAAGAGAAGTAAATGCGAGGGTCTTGGCAAGAGGTGTGGAGTTAAAAGATAAAGAATCACACATAAAGTGGGAGTTGTCACAGTTGCTCTTTGCTGATGACACTGTGCTCTTGGGAGATTCTGAAGAGAAGTTGCAGAGATTGGTGGATGAATTTGGTAGGGTGTGCAAAGAAGAAAATTAAAAGTGAATACAGGAAAGAGTAAGGTTATGAGGATAACAAAAAGATTAGGTGATGAAAGATTGGATATCAGATTGGAGGGAGAGAGTATGGAGGAGGTGAATGTATTCAGATATTTGGGAGTGGACGTGTCAGCGGATGGGTCTATGAAAGATGAGGTGAATCATAGAATTGATGAGGGGAAAAGGGTGAGCGGTGCACTTAGGAGTCTGTGGAGACAAAGAACTTTGTCCTTGGAGGCAAAGAGGGGAATGTATGAGAGTATAGTGTTACCAACGCTCTTATATGGGTGTGAAGCATGGGTGATGAATGTTGCAGTGAGGAGAAGGCTGGAGGCAGTGGAGATGTCATGTCTGAGGGTAATGTGTGGTGTGAATATAATGCAGAGAATTCGTAGTTTGGAAGTTAGGAGGAGGTGCGGGATTACCAAAACTGTTGTCCAGAGGGCTGAAGAAGGGTTGTTGAGGTGGTTCAGTACATGTAGAGAGAATGGAGCGAAAAGAGTGACTTCAAGAGTGTATCAGTCTGTAGGGAAGGAAGGCGGGGTAGGGGTCGGCCTAGGAAAGGTTGGAGGGAGGGGGTAAAGGAGGTTTTGTGTGCGAGGGGCTTGGACTTCCAGCAGGCATGTGTGAGCGTGTTTGATAGGAGTGAATGGAGACAAATGGTTTTTAACCCTTTGAGGGTTTCGTCGTACTAGTACGTCTTACGCGTAGGGGTTTTTGACGTACTAGTACTCATAAATTCTAGCGGCCTCAAATCTAGTGGGAGAAAGCTGGTAGGCCTTCATATGAAAGAATGGGTCTATGTGGTCAGTGTGCACAGTCTAAAAAAAATCCTGCAGCACACAGTGCATAATGAGAAAAAAAAAACTTTGGGCCATTTTTTTTTAATAAATCAGCGACTTTGCAGTGTATTTTCGTATGGTATTTATTGTTGTATTCTAGTTTTCTTGGTCTCATTTTATAGAATGGAAGACATATTACAGAAATTGAGATGATTTTGACTGGTTTTACAAAGAAAGGTGCCTTGAAATTGAGCTCAAAGTAGCAGAAATGTTCGATTTTTACCAAACTTCAAAAGTAAACAAATCGTGCCAAGCGTGCAATACACGTCAACTGGTGAGTCTAATATTCTTTCACAAGTGCACCAATAATATTTATACCATTTTTTACACTAATGCAGTAGTCTGCATAACAGTAAATCTTATATTTTTTGTGAAAATAAAAATTCAAAGTGGAAAGCAAAAGAATATAAGAGGGGACTTGAGACATGACTAATGACTAGAGGAAATGTCATTTTAGTGCCAGGAATGTCTTTCTTGTTTATTCTGGACCCTATTCCGAAATTGGCATCTTTTGAAATTTGTGTGAAATTGGCAAAATTGCTAAATTCTGACCACTGTACTGGATAGTTGAATTTCATAAATGAGTGGTTTCTTGCATCCATTCGATAGAAAAAATGGAGTTCTAGCGAAATATTCATGTTTTTTGTCGACTAGTACAGTGAAATTGGCCGAAAATGGGGCTCAAAGTGGGCAAAATCGCCGATGCGTAAACATCGCCGAGACCGCTAACTTTGCGAGAGCATAATTCCGTAAGTTTTCTATCAAATTTCAAACTTTTGGTGTCTTTATGATCGGGAAAAAGGTTCTCTATCTTTTCATAAGAGAAAATAATTTTTTTTTTTTTTTAAATTTGGCCGACCCTGAGAACGAGTTTCGGAGAGGGCCTGTCGACCCTCAAAGGGTTAATACTTGACGTGCTGTTGGAGTGTGAGCAAAGTAACATTTATGAAGGGGTTCAGGGAAACCGGCAGGCCGGACTTGAGTCCTGGAGATGGGAAGTACAGTGCCTGCACTCTGAAGGAGGGGTGTTAATGTTGCAGTTTAAAAACTGTAGTGTAAAGCACCCTTCTGGCAAGACAGTGATGGAGTGAATGATGGTGAAAGTTTTTCTTTTTCAGGCCACCCTGCCTTGGTGGGAATCGGCCAGTGTGATAAAAAAAAAAAAAAATGCTTCTAAATTGTTGTGTCTGGGTGCCTCAACAGTGATTATGTGTGAGTGAGGTGAAAGTGTTGAATGATGATGAAAGCATTTTCTTTTTGGGGATTTTCTTCTTTTTGGGTTACCCTGCCTCAGTGGGAGATGTCCAACTTGTTGAAAAAAAATTTTTCCTTATTTTAGAGGTCATTTATCTTGGTAGGAAATAGTATTAAAGAAATTCTAATGAGAAATTGTGCTTACTCTTGTCCCACTACTGTGATAAATCCTCAAATCACTTTTTACAAGATTCACAATGCTAATGCTGTTTCAAGGTAACATTTGTTCATAAGGCCCAACATTCCTGTATTTCAGACTAAAATTTCACACTGTCATAAATGTAACAATAATATAAGCACTGTTATAAGGAAGGAGGAACTGTATAGGCCTTGAGCTGCACACCTTACATAACTGAAGCAGGCATTTTACCCCTGTACTGTATTATTGACATTCCAACAGATCCTAATAAGAATATATGCACAGCTCTATGGCATAGAATAGGTTTATTCAATTACTTCCTCTCTGTACAAGAATGGTATACAGTACCGACAAGATGAAATTAGACACGTGCAACATCTGGGTATCTTTATTATAGACGTTTCGCCATCCAGTGGCTTTATCAATACAAACTCCAGGACATAACTTGAAGACAGTAGAACTATGTACAGAAGATGAGGTAATCAGTACCTCATCTTCTGTACATAATTCTACTGTCTGTTGAGGGACTGATTACCTCATCTTCTGTACATAGTTCTACTGTCTTCAAGTTATGTCCTGGAATTTGTATTGATAAAGCCACTGGATGACAAAACGTCTATAATAAAGATACCCAGATGTTGCACATGTGTCTTAAACCATACCCCCGGCCGGGATTGAACCCGCGGTCATAGAGTCTCAAAACTCCAGCCCGTCGCGTTAGCCACTAGACCAGCTAGCCACAATAAGATTCATCCAACTAGGTATATTTCTACACCATAGGAAAGTTAGCACAGGCACCTCTGTGACCACAAATGCAAGTTTTTACAGACGAATCTCCAGCTAGCGTGGCCGTGACGAACTCTAGCTCAAGTCCCTTCACTGCCGTCAACATGACTTAAGAAATCGTAATGACACGATTGCAAATAAACCATACCCCGGCCGGGGGTATGGTTTATTTGCAATCGTGTCATTACGATTTCTTAAGTCATGTTGACGGCAGTGAAGGGACTTGAGCTAGAGTTCGTCACGGCCACGCTAGCTGGAGATTCGTCTGTAAAAACTTGCATTTGTGGTCACAGAGGTGCCTGTGCTAACTTTCCTATGGTGTAGAAATATACCTAGTTGGATGAATCTTATTGTGGCTAGCTGGTCTAGTGGCTAACGCGACGGGCTGGAGTTTTGAGACTCTATGACCGCGGGTTCAATCCCGGCCGGGGGTATGGTTTATTTGCAATCGTGTCATTACGATTTCTTAAGACATGTGTCTTAATTTCACTTCCTCTCTCCCCCCCTTTCAAGCTATTTGTGAAACAATGCCCCACAAGTACACTAGCTACTAAATGCATCCTTTAAGGCAACCTTTGCATTTTTTCCACAGGATATATGCCAGCAGATGCAGTACACTATGTAACCGCAACGTATAACTTGGTATACAACCTTCAGATATCAGAAGCCTCCTTAGCGACAGCCCTCTCTACAGCTGTTGATCCTAACTATGGTGAAGTGAATCTTGAGTATTTTATCACAGTTCTCCAAGATGCCCACTTCAGAGAAAATAATGTTTATTAAATAAACGGTTTTAAAATAGAAACGTAATAATACCACTATATAAAATTAAATGAATCTAAACTGAATTTGTAATCATGTGAAGTAAAACTTCTTGAGCTTGAAATGTTTCATTATCATATTCTATAGATAAAGTAAAATTTTGAGACAGTTTTCCCTGAAATTACCTTGGTCACCGTCTGTGGGAGGTTTTATCTGGGAGATACAACCCTAATGACTTGGAATAGGTTCCTCCAGTTTGTCTTGGGATTTTTTATTCAGGAACCATAATCAGCACTGTGGTTACTTAGAATGTGATTGATTATGAATGTAGTAAACATCTAGATTTGGGACCCTCAAGGGAGGTTCCTTGATGCTGGTGAGGGGCTCTTGATCTAGGGAATTGAATCTGTGCTCCAGTTCCCTGAATTGAGCCTGAATACCTTCCATCTCCCCGCCCCACAGGTGCTGTATATTCCTACAGGTTTAGCGCTTCCCAATGATTATAATTATAATCTATATTTGGAAGTCTTTTCTATCTCATATTATGAATACTGGTGAGAGTTCTTGCTCTAAGAAATTGGACCTGTGCTCCAGTTCTTGAATTGAGCCTGAATACTTTCCATTCTCCTAGGCACTTTGACACCTATGGATTTACCACTCCCTTCATGAATATAATATTAATGAAACATATAACATTTATATTTGTTGTTCCCACAAATTCGCATAATTCAATTGTCCTATGGTTATACTGACTGGCAATCCATGAATAGATTGATTATCCTTGGGTTTTCTTGGGGTAGCCTTTTTCAGGCTTGGTGCATGATTCCTAAATTGAAAATTAACCATAGGATTTCATTTAAAATGTGGGAGTCCACCCCTCTAGACTTTACAACTTATATTTAGGAACATTATAAGATTCATTTCAAGCCCTACAAACCTACACTGACGCTATACGAGTACCAGCCAACAGCTTGCTGGCCCTGACAGCATTCATGTTCATATGTTTCAACACTTACAACAAACAGAGCTAGTCTTCCTATTAGTTTTTTAACTGTACAGTGCTGTATTTGGTCCAAAACAAGGTTGTACCTCTTCAATTGAAAACTACTTTTACCAGCACTACAGCCTCTCCTCACTTAACGATGGAGTTCCGTTCCTAAGACCATGTCAGTAAATAAATTCGTTGCTAAGTGAGGAGCATACTATAATGGTAGTGGGCTTGTGTCATCCATCTTTGATACTGTTTAATGTCACCTTTGCACCATTTATAACATTTTTAGTATGTTTATACAGTAGCACACTATATATTGTAATAAACAGAATAGAGGAAACCAGTTCTAATATACATTATTTATGTATGCATACTGGTCAGAGAGCCCATCATAAGTCCGAGTCGTCGGTAAACGAGGACATCACTAACTGAGGAGAGGCTGTATTTATAAGCTATTAGAATGTTTAGTTAAGAAACAACTCATATAAGTACTTATGAACATGAAGCAAGGGGCCACTCCACTATCAACACCTTAATGTACATCAATACATGCATTTTCTGATAATCATTCAGTTTGTGCAGTCTTTTTCAATTTAGAAAAAACTTTGTGCAAGTTGAAGGTGCATTCTAATATATGGTATCCCCTTATGTAAACAGTCTTGCTGCTGCTTGTGCAGGCATGTACCCTCAACTCATAGCAATCTTTCTCCAACACTACTGATGTTGCCTCCAAATGAACCACCTCACATGGTTTTAATTTTTCTATTCCTAAAACAAACGATAACTTTCACACAATACTCTGTTATCCCACAACAGATTCTATATCTATGTATTGAGTTCCAATATCCCTGAATTTAATTCTTCCTCTGCAAGCCATGCATGTCGTAAGAGGCAACTAAAATGCCGGGGGCAAGGGCCTAGTAACCCCTTCTCTTATATACATTACTAAATGTAAAAGGAGAACTTTTGCTTTTTCTTTTGGACCAACCTGCCTCGGTAGGATACGGTCGGTGTGTTGAAAGAAGAAGATCCCTGGATTAGATACTGTCAAGTTTCTCAGCCTTTTTGTCCATCAAATGTTATGGGAGTCTTGCATATCCTCCTAAAAGCTACCTGTCATAGTTTGTTGAACCTACTTAAAATTTTAGGGAAAGCTGTTACACAAACCCTCCTTTGCCAACAGCCAGCTCTAATCTAGTCTGAGCTAGATTACAGAGATCTGGGTCTAGAGGATTTGTATGCCTAACTGAGAGCCTGTATACAGAAGCAGAATGTCCTTTCTGTTCTCGCCATCATTTGTTTTTTCTGACTCAAAGTTCTTAGATGCTCATCATTCCTCATATGCAACAATATTTATGAATGTTGCGAGTTTTAGCAAGCAAAGAGCTGCTTGGACATGGTGATGTTTGGGGCAATGAGCATGCAGACACAGCTGATCAGTCTGCTATTCATACACTGCTAATCTCCAGAAGTGGGGTGTTCCTTTCTTAGATTATTATTCATAAACTGCTAATCTCCAGAAGGGGGTGTTCCTTTCTTAGATTATTTTTATGTAATTTTTCAACAACTGTACTGGCAGCAACACTGGTCCTAGTTAGAGCACAATGAATTTTCTATTAAAACAAAATTCTTCCTCCGTAAGCTATGTGTGTCGTAGGTGACTAAATTCTGGGAGCAACGGGCTAGTAACCCTTCTGTATAAATTACTAAAAAGGAAAAGAAAAACTTTATAAAATTGGGATGTCTGAATGTGCATAAATGTAGTGCTAATGATAAGAAAGAGATGATTGCTAATGTTATGAATGAAAAGAAGTTGGATGTTCTAGCTCTAAGCGAAACAAAGCTGAAGGGGGTAGGCGAGTTTCAGTGGGGAGAAATAAATGAGATTAAGTCAGGAGTATCTGAGAGAGTTAGAGCTAAGGTAGGGGTAGCAATAATGTTGAAGGATCAGTTATGGAGAGAGAAGAGGAAATAGAAATGTATAAATTCAAGGATTATGTGGATTAAAATAAGGGTTGGATGTGAAAAGTGAGTCATAATGTGTGTATGCACCTGGAGAAAAGAGGAGTGTAGAGGAGAGAGAGAAGAATGGGGTAGAAGATGTATGGGGTAAGTTTAAGAATATAGTGTTAGAGTGTTCAGCAGAAATTTGTGATTATAGGAAAGTGGGTGCGGGAGGGAAGAAGAGCAGTTGGTGGAATGATAATGTAAAGAGAGTAGTAAGAGAGAAAAAGTTAGCACAAGAGAGGTTTTTACAAAGTAGAAGTGATGCAAGGAGGGAGAAGTATATGGAGAGAAAAAGAGAGGTTAAGAGAGTGGTGAAGCAATGTAAAAAGAGAGCAAATGAGAGGATGGGTGAGATGTTATCAATAAATTTTGTTGAAAATAAGAAAAAGTTTTGAAGTGAGATTAATAAGTTAAGAAAGCCTAGGGAGAGAATGGATTTGTTAGTTAAAAATAGGAGAGGAGAGTTATTAAATGGAGAGTTAGAGGTATTGGGAAGATGGAGGGAATATTTTGAGGAACTGTTAAATGTTGAAGATAGGGAAGCTGTGATTTCGTGTATAGGGCAAGGAGGAATAACATCTTATAGGAGTGAGGAAGAGCCAGTTGTGAGTGTGGGGGAGGTGCATGGGGCAGTGAATAGAATGAAAAGGGGTAAAGCAGCTGGGAATGATGGGATAAAGATAGAGATGTTAAAGGCAGGTGGGGATATAGTTTTGGAGTAGTTAATGTTTTTATTTAATAAATGTATGGAAGAGGGTAAGGTACCTAGGGATTGGCATAGAGCATGCATAGTTCCTTTGTCTAAAGGCAAAGGGGACAAAAGTGTAAAAATTATAGGGGAATAAGTCTGTTGAGTTTACCTGGTAAAGTGTATGGTAGAGTTATTATTGAAAGAATTAAGAGTAAGACAGAGAGCAGAACAGCAGATGAACAAGGAGGCTTTAGGAAGGGTAGGGGTGTGTAGACCAAGTGTTTGCAGTGAAACATATAGGTGAACAGTACTTAGATAAGGGTAAAGAGGTATTTGTGGCATTTATGGATTTGGAAAAGGCATATGATAGGGTGGATAGGGGGGCAATGTGGCAGATGTTGCAAATGTATGGAACAGGAGGTAGGTTATTGAAAGCGGTGAAAAGTTTTTACGAGGATAGAGAGGCTCAGGTTAGAGTATGTAGGCGAGAGGGAAATTATTTCCCAGTAAAAGTAGGCCTTAGACAGGGATGTGTGATGTCACCATGGTTGTTCAATATATTTATAGATGGAGTTGTAAGAGAAGTGAATGATCAGGTGATGGCAAGAGGTGTGGGTTTAAAAGATAAGGAATCTAACACAAAGTGGGAGTTGATACAGTTGTTTTTTACTGATGACACTGCACTTTTGGGGGATTCTGAAGAGTAGTTGCAGAGGTTGGTTGATGAGTTTGGTAGGGTATGTAAAAGAAGGAAATTAAAAGTGAATATAGGAATGAGTAAGGTGATGAGGATAAAAAAAATTAGGTAACAGAAGACTGGATATCAGATTAGAGGGAGAGAGTATGGAGGAGGTGAATGTGTTCAGATATCTGGGAGTGGATGTGTCAGCAGATGGGTCTATGAAGGATGAGGTGAATTATAGAATTAACGAAGGAAAAAAGGTGAGTGGTGCACTGGGGAGTCTGTGGAGACAAAGAACTTTATCCATGAAAGCAAAGAGAGAAATGTATGAGAGTATAGTTAAACCAACACTCTTGTATGGGTGTGAGGCAAGGGTTGTGAATGTTGTAATAAGGAGAAGGCTGGAGGCAGTGGAGATGTCATGTCTGTGGGCAATGTATGGTGCGAATATAATGCAGAGAATCTGTAGTTTGGAGATTAGGAGGTGGTGTGGGATTACCAAAACTATTAACCAGAGGGCTGAGGAGGGATTATTGAGATGGTTTGGACATGTAGAGAGGATGTAACGAAATAGAATGACTTTGAGAGTGCATAAATCTGTAGTGGAGGGAAGGTGGGTAGGGGTCTGCCTAGGAAAGGTTAGGAGGGAGTAAAGGAGGTTTTGTGTGCGAGGGGACTGGATTTCCAGCAAGTGTGCGTGAGCGTGTTAGATAGGAGCAAAAGGAGACAAATGGTTTTTAGGACTTGACATGCTGCTGGAGTGTAAGCAAGGTAACATTTATGAAGGGATTCAGGGAAACCAGCAGGTCAGATTTGATTCCTGGATATGGGAAGTGCAGTACCAGCACTCTGAAGGAGGAGTGTTAATGTTGCAGTTTTATAACTGTAGTGTAAGCATGCCTCTGGCAAGACAATGATGGAGTGAGTGATGAAAGTTTTTCTTTTTCGGGCCACCCTGCCTTGGTGGGAAACTGCCGATGTGTTAATAAAATAATAAACCACAACCAGTTCTTGGCCATCATCTTGCCACCCACATGGATACCGCATGGAGAAATTCCCTCCACTTCTCTGCGAGGATTACCCAGTCACACTGTAAGTTAATCATATCTAATAGACTGTCTTACTTATGAGAGCACACAGTATTCATTGTTG